TTGTCAGAGGTAGTGAGGCCTATTGGAGGTTGCAATAGACCTCACTACCCCTGAGGATGCTTGCCATAGAAGCAGGCGAAACGTCAGGAGAAAATGCCTCTAGAACATGGTCATATAGCCTGAAAAAACCTACAACCCCAAGTCTTATTTTTCCATTACTGAAAGCTTTGGTGTTGCGGCTGCAGCTTTAATGTCCAAGTTATAGAATGCACATTTTGCCGCTGCGCATTACATACTTTTTTTTGGCTTCAGGGTTTTGAAAATTGAGGTGCGCATTAGATTCGATGGTGCATTAGACTCGAATAAATGTGGTTATATATACATATAAATTGCACAAATACAAGACTGTGCCATAAATACTACATTGCCACAAGATTGCGACGTTTTCATAGCAAATTGTTACAAAAAGGCCACATTGCTAGCTACCAAAGAATTCATTGCAACAGCGCAGCAACAGAGTTACACTTACATCCTGAATGGTTATCGTTTCACAGTGTTACTACACAGATAATATAAAGACAGAGGTCACATTTTGAGGGATCATTGTGCTTGCGGCGAAGCGTGAGGGCATGTGGCCGGGTGTCAAGTGGTGCGTCTACACTCCAGACTTGACTGAGGATCCACAGGGAATGCTTCCTTAATTTGATGCTGGTGGTGCATGTTTGCATTTCTAGAGAAGTGTGACCTGTCTTTCCATCCAATGGGCAGAAGCCCACCAAGCCCCTTTCGTGGAGGGCTCTGCAAAGGGATGTGGGAGGCGGCACCACCTGCAAGAGCATAGCTCTGAAGACCAGAATTGAAACCTTTGGGTGGGTGAACGGTATGCGGTTAGTGTGCTCAGCACCAGCCTGACAGCTTGAGGGCAGGGCAATAAGATATAGCTCTGAGGAGGGCTTTTAAAAAAGCTGGTCATGCGCCAAATGGAGTTGAAGACTCTTTGCCAGGCCCACAAATCTACCCCCTCCCCCAAAACTGATCAGAACCCCGTCCAATGAAGCAGGCAGAATGGAGCCTGAAATGGTGCAGTTGGTACTATCAATACCTGCAACTATCTTATCAAGGGGAGCGTTTGCTCTAAGTATAATGGAGCATAAATTCGTCTTTTCCCATACTCTGCTTTTAGTTAAGAAGAAGAGGAGACAAATTCAGGACTGTGGCGCAGCTGGCTGAGTGTCAGCTGCATTAATATCACTTCTGACCCAAAGGTCATGAGTTCGAAGCCAGCCCTGGTCGGAATGAGCTTCCGACAATTGTTTAGCTTGTTGTCGACCTTTGCAAAACAAAAGACAGTTGCATCTGTCAAGTAGGAAATTTAGGTACCACCTATTTTACGAGGCCATAAAGCATGCGGGGAATGTGGAAGTACTTCATCAGTGCCACAGATGGACGATGAAAGCGACAGCTTCCCTGGCGGCCAGAAAAGTGGAATGTTAAATAGCCTCTAACTGTCTGTCTATATGTGTTGAGTGAGCTCCCGACCAAAATTGCGTAACTTGTTGTTGACCTTTGCAGCCTGAAAGACAATTGCATCTGTCAAGTAGGAAATTTAGATACCACTTATGTGAGGAGGCTAATTTCCATAAAAACCTCCAGGAAGTATGCAAAGAATGAGGAAAGTACTTCATCAGTGTCACAAATGGACAGTGAAGTGACAGCTCCCCTGGTGGCCAGAAGCTGGAATTGTAAATAGCCTCTGAGTGTCTGTCTATATATATTGTGTGTACATTGTAATCCGCCCTGAGTACCCTGCAGGGTGAGAAGGGCGGAATATAAATACTGTAAATAATAATAATAATAATAATAATAATAATAATAATAATAATAATAATAATCCTGCTTTTCCAAAAGATTTTCCCAAGCTCAGGCCAGGCCTTCAAATGCTAATGAAGGTGGTCAGTTGAAACATTCACACCTAGCTCTAGCAGAGAAGAGCTCTTTGCCCCACCCCAGCCATTCCACAGATATATAAACCCATTGTCCTATTTCCAACAGACCTCACTACCTCTGAGGATGCTTGCCATAGATGCAGGCGAAACGTCAGGAGAAATGCCTCTAGAACATGGCCATATAGCCCGAAAAAACCTACAACAACCCAGAGTATGACTTCTTGCCTGGTACAAGCATCAGCTAATCCTATCATGGGATTGATTGAGTTTTCCTAGGTCTAGGCAGAACTGCTTGATGACCTCAAGTATTGCTCTAGCAGATCAATATATCCGCAGGGAGATGATATTATGGCTGTTTCCGGCAATGCAAACCACCTGCCTCCATCCCTTCCTGCAGCCTTTTTGATTCTTGGCCTTTATCCTTGCCTTGTATCCCCTCAAAGACCACAGCCCTGGATACGCAGCCCATTCCCCAAGCCTTGTGGTGCTAAGCCAGAATGGGAGGGGGGGGGGGGGGTTCTGATCAGTTTTCAGTCTTAGGACCCATTGGGTTAGAAAGAGCCATTAAAATAAACAAATACAGTAGCTAACCATTAAAGAAAAGGGGAAAAAAAAGATTAAACTGAACCAAAGCAAACAGATTATTTACCATTTTCACGACTGATGACTGAGGGAAGGGCATCAGTGAGACCAGGAGAGGGGGAGGGAAGGGAGGAGAAGAAGGAGGGAGGGAGGGGAGAAAGGAGGTGAGTGCAACACATCACAGCAAAGAAGGAAAAGGAGATGATTAACAACAACAGAAAAGGAAAAGAGTCCAAAAAACCCAGCATGTATTAACACAACATTAATGTGGAATGAAGAAACGGATGGGACCAAAAAAAAACCGAGGCAAAAAAAGGTGGAGAGCATGAGAATCCATTATTGATTTTTAGGAATATCAATGAATCCACGTCTCACCAGGAGGAAGCTGTGAACACAAAAAGAAGAGGCAGAGCACCAGGGGAAAGGAGGCCATGATGTGGTCCGTCTGATCTATGGCCAGGATTGTGGCAAGGGAAGCCCTGTTTATCAGCAGCCTTGGACTGCAAAGCCGCTCTTCTGCTCCTTCCCAGAGAGAGAGGAAGAGAAGCCAAACTAGGCATCCCACTGTGGCCAAAGGTCGAGAAAGGACCCAGAAAGCTAAGTTCCCAAACTGCCCCATTTCTTAGAATCATAGAATCCTAGAGTTGGAAGAGACGTTGTGGGCCCTCCAACGGTGCAAAGAAGCAGGAAAATTGCATTCAAAGCACCCCTGACAGATTACCACCCAGCCTATGCTTCAAAACCTCCAAAGAAGAGCCTCCACACACTCCAGGGCAGAGAGTTCACCATTGAACAGCTCTCACAATGTTGAAGTTCTTCCTAATGTTCAGGTGGAATCTCCATTCCTGTAGTTTGAAGCCATTGTTCCGCATCCTAGTCTCCAGGGCAGCAGAAAACAAGCTTGCTCCCTCCTCCCTATGACCTTCACATCTTTATATCATAGCTCCTCATCATGTCTCCTCTCAGCATTTTCTTCTGCAGGCTAAACATGTCCAGCTCTTTAAGCCACTCCTCATAGGGCTTGTTCTCCAGATCCTTGATCATTTTAGTCACCCTCCTCTGGACACATTCCAGCTTAGAGTAAATATCTCCCTTAAAACGCGGTGCCCAGAATTGGACAAAGTATTCCAGGTGTGGTCTGATCAAGGCTGAATAGGGGGGTAGCATAACTTCCCTGGATCTAAGCACTAGACTCCTATTTATGCGGGCCAAAATCTCATTGGCTTTTTTAGCTGCCACGTGATGTTGTTGGCTCATGTATAGCTTGTTGTACACAAGGGCTCCAAATGTACTCCTATCGAGCCAGCGTCCCCCATTCTTTACTTTTGCATTTCATTTTTTTTCCTGCCTAAGTGGAGTGTCTTGCATTTGTCACTGTTGAACTTCATTTTGTTAGTTTTGGACCATCTCTCTAATCTGAAGCAGGGAGAAAGTGGAGATGAGGAGGAGAGTTGATAGAACTGAGCATTGACTTTGTGCCTGGACCACTATCACTCTAGACCAGTGGTTCCCAACCTGTGGGTCCCCAGATGGTTTGGCGTTCAACTCCCAGAAATCCTATCAGCTGGTAAATTGGCTGGGATTTCTGGGAGTTGTAGGACAAAACACCTGGGGAACCACAGGTTGAGAACCACGGCCTAAGTGGAGTATCTTGCATTTGTCTCTGTTGGACTTCACTGTGTTAGTTTTGGCCAATCACTTCTCTAATCTGTTAAGACTGTTTTGAATTCTGCTCCTGTCTTCCGGAGTCTTGACTCTTCCTCCCAATTTGGTCCCGTCTGAAAACTTGATGATCTCTTCCCACATCATTCACAGCTTGCTCTGTTTCCAGAGGCAGAGAAGATGGAAAGAAATCTCTCCAGCAGCTAATTTGGAAATTAAATCAGATTTTGGTAATTGGCTTCAAAGTGGTATTGGAAAAATACCTGGCAGCTGGATAGCCTCACTGTAGGAGGCAAACAGACAGGTAAACATCTTTAGGGCAACAGTGATAGGGACAGGATGGGCTGAACTAGAGAGGGTAGGAGAGCTGATAGGGACAACATGGGCCTAGAGGACTCTTCACAGAGGCTCAAAATGGGGCAGAAGGAGACTTACTCGTTCCATCTTCTGTCACCATTCCCAGTCCTTCGGCTTTGTTTTGTCGCTCAAAGGCATTGAGATCCAGCACACTGTTGAATGAAGGAGAGGATGGAAAACCGGGCCAGGAGAGCAAAGGAACAGAGCTTAAGAGGGGATAGAGCAGGTATGGGCAAACTCGGGCCCTCCTGGTGTTTTGGACTTCAACTCCCACCATTCTTACCAGAACTCCCACCACTCCTAACAGAAGTGTGTCCTCCTCGAGTTCCTCCGCCCACACCCTGACGTCCGCGCCCTTGGTGTCAAGCCCTTGGCCCTGAGCCCCACTTCTTTGACTGTGTAAACAGGAAGGGGCTTACCTGGTACAGGTGAGGAGGAGGGGGCATGCAAGACTGGCCAAGGAAGCCAAGGAAGGCACATAGGTGAGCACTCCTCAGGGATTCGCGCTATACGCAAATGCGTATCGTGCCTATTGCTTCAGCCGTCCCTGGATAGCAGGACAATGGATGGCTGAAGGTGCAAATGGTGAAGCCCCCGATCCTTATTTCTCTTGGCCAAGATAGATGCAACTTCCCACCTGTCAGTCATAATCACCCCCAGAAGTGGAACCAGTTCATCTTCACATCAGGTCAGCACTCCAATGGGGCAGTGTTGATGCCAGCCCTAGCCCCTCATTATGTTTTCCCCCCATTTAGGCTGAGTGGCCATTTTGCTTTCCTACAATGTCACAAATGGTGCTGGTTCTGGGAAATTTAAAAGGGGAGCTTCCCAAGACATCCAGTGTAAGTGGCCCTGCGTTTAGGACAGTGGTTCTGTGGGTCCCCAAATGTTTTGGCCTTCAACTCATAGAAAATCCTAACAGCTGGTAAACTGGCTGGGGTTTCTGGGAGTTGTAGGCCAAAACACCTGGGGACACACAGGTTGAGAACCACTGGTTTAGGATAACCCATGCTAGAGTCTAGCCTGGATGCAAAGCAATAGCTTTGCTCAAAAGTGCCCTCTGGCAACACAAAGTAACTCATGGTGTGGGATGCCCCACCAATTGCCTTCGAAGCCAGGAGGATCCAATATCTTACTGGGTTCTAATTGTCAAACGTGAGAAGCAAGGGTGAGAAGGTACAACAGAAAGCAGAAATACAGAGTGGGGGAAGAACAAGATCGTCACTGCTACAAACCTGCATGTCTGCATTAGTGCTTGGATGCTCTGGAAGAACCCCACTTCACGTTTCTCCTTCAGATAATCCAGCATTTTCTGAAGAC